GTGAAAACCACACCCCCACCATCACTGGCAGGGCAAGCTACTGTATATAAACAGGGAGCAAATCCCATACTTACTAGCACTGATTATGTTTCCTAGTTGGGTAATGAAATGTCTGCAAACAAACAACCAAGCTCAGAGAGCACCGAGGACTCCACAGTTCAACCCCAAGCTACATATATTCTCTTTTATTAATTCCTCTTTAGCAGAGAAGTTCTTTCTTCTGGAGTCACAATCAAACTGACCTGAGTTTGTGTGGTTCAGCTAATTGTAGTGGCCAAGGCCACATTCAAGCCAGCAGAAAACATTCCTCTGTGTGTGCATTTTTCCTGTGTCTTGACGCTGGCAAGGGAACAACTATCCATCTGGTTAATCTCTTTATTTCAACCAAGTTCCTTGAGCACTTTGGCTTTGAGCCTTACTAAACCATTATTGTCCCATCATTATGAAATTCAAAGGGTCCTTTAAGGCCAGCATCTCTCCTATTCATCTCAAGAGTTCATGCATCAGGGCAGGAAGAAATATGGGTGTCCCTCCCCGCTTCCCCTCCTATTCCGGCCTTGAATCTGCAGAGCTAAAGACGTGTGTTTACATGTGAAGATGGTGATATCAGCGTTTTGGATTTTGTTCTAAATCTGGGACAAAATAAGGCTTTAGCAGCTGAGCATGCCTATGTGTGAGTGTGGGGAAAGCAGGTGAAGCAGCTGCCCGGAGCGTCCTGTGGTTCCTCTGCCTCCTGGCAGAGGTAGTTTGTGAAGGTTTTCTTTTCAAACTCATTGTTACGCAACAGTTAGGAGAATGGATCCACACCTGCTGGGTAGAAGGTTCTCCTGGAGCACCTTCTTAGGGCATTCACTTTCTTGCACTTTCACTTTTGCCCTCTTTTTGGATGTGACTCTTCCAGATTTTTTTTTTTTTTTTTTTTAAAAACCTTTTAATTTTTCAAACCTGCCTGCCCCTTTTGTTTTTTAAACTCCCTGACATTCAGCTTGTAATGGAGTTTTGGAGAAGTGAGAAGAGTAGCAGAGACAAGTCAGCCAAAGGGAAAAGACACATACATTAAAACAAAAACTACAA